TTTTCTATACCACATTTTACTGGCAAACAATTGTAAAAGTGCTTACACAAATACATGTAATAAAATAACACAAATGATGGAGATAGGAAAATGGGACAATGGAAACATTAAAGTAGGAAGTCCAATCGAAACTAGGAAGGGAGGTCAGAACTTCGAGCTGGTATCATCAGGCCCACACATGAATTCATTACGTCAGTGGTTGAAAAGTTCTGGCCCACTGGACAAATCTGGCTGACCATCTGCTTCAAAAACAAAGTTTTATTGGAACACAGCCACCCCTATTCATTTACATATTCTTTATAGCTGCTTTTATGCTACAGTGGCAGAATTGAGTAGCTGCAACTGAGACCAAATGGCCCATGAAACCTGAAATATTTATTTGCTGGCCCTTTACAGGAAAAAAATGTGCCAATGTCCAGGTTATATGATTCTTTGCCTAGGAGATAAAAGCTAAGCGATTCCCTAGGATGAGCACACTCTTTGTATAGTTCTGAAGTAGAAGAGAACTTTCTACTATAGAGCTCGCTATTTAATCTAATAAAAAGTCTTTAGCATCATTTTTTTTTTTTACAGCAAGATAAATATAGCAACAGGTTTCACAGGGCCCACGGCACAATGATGTCATTCATAGTCAGTAAAGAGGTTCTACGTAAATCTGAAACACATGAGGTTCAGGTTCAAATCATGCCTGGTCTGGTTTTAATTCAGGGATAGTCTCTTGAGATGGCAAAGGCCAGTCACATGTGCAGCCCTTCCTTGGCCCTGGCTGTCTTGGCTAATGGATCCAGGGGTTCTCTTCTGCTGAGCCCTTCCTCAGAAGTCTCCCCGTTCTCCGGCAGCCTTAAGCCATCCTTCGCACTTGGCATGCAAGACAAAACCAATATGCCATCTTTGCTGTAAGGCAATTTTTCCTAAACACTGTTGGCTTGGGGGTGGTGAGGCTGGGGTTATACTGTCTGCAAAGCACAGATATTCTGTTCTCTCAAAGTACAGAACTATATCCTTCAATGAGAGTCCACAGAGGAGGGCTGGACTGCCATCCTCCCTCCACAATCAGTCTGACAAGGATGGCTGCCCAGAGACAAGATCCCATCAGACAGAGAGCAGGGCCAGGAGACTGCCCAGGAATAGAGCTGTGAGCTGTTGTGCTGCACAGACCCACAGGGACCAGGGCCACAGAGAACATCATGGGCACTTTGTCTGGAGGCCTTCAAGCCCAACAACCACAGAACGGCCAGACACCTAGATCCGCTGACCTTGTCACACACACATTTTGAAAGAGTTCTCCGAGCCACGAGGGCTCCAAAATAAACATAAACAAACTGGAAAAGATGATCCCCAAGAAACTACGATTCAGTGAAATGTTGGAAGAGGATGCCACAAACACCAATCATGGATTCAGAAAAATATACCTGTAGCTTTTTTTCTCCACCCCTTCTTTCCTTGTAGCTAAAAAGCTAGGTCATGAATTGATTATATTTCTGGTGGAACAAAAATTTCGTTACATAAAGAAGTCTTTTATTAGGAATGTTTAAGAGAATTCAAATATTCTTATTGTATCGTGATGGAAACTGCTACCAAATCTATACCTGACTTCTACCCATACTGTCAAGGGGAGAGAGGAAGACAAAACATGTCATAAACTATCCTACAGTGTTCCCCAAAGATTCTTCCACTCAGTGACTAAAAAGCATGAAATATCCACCATGCTTGAAATGTTCCTTCTCTTTAATGGCATGTGGTTGCCTTCTAGAAAGTCGATAACGAATAAGTGAAACATAATCAACGTTTGACAGCAAAGGTAATGCAGCCAACAAACATGACGGAATAATGAAGTAAAACTTTCTTAATCCCCTTTTTAAAAAAGCAAATGCTACCAAATCTTGCCATTTATTCTTCTAACACTTAGAGATCAATTCCAGACTACTTAAGGTCACCTCTGGGCATGTGAGAATATAGAAAATTTGCACTCCATATGGCCTTAGAGGGGAAAAAGAAGAGGAAAAACAAAAACTTGAAGAGTCAATGCAAATGCTAAATCCAAACCCTATAGTAAAAGAAATCGAGTACAGGGATACCCAAGTATGCACTGGATTTGGAAATGCACAGAAAATATCAATGCAGAAAATTCCAAAGGAAAGCAGAAGCCACTCCATAACAGCTACGGGCTGATCCCTGCTTCTCCAGGCCCCTGTGCAACCTTCTGTGTCCTATGATGGGCACTGAGCCCAAGCTGGAGGTAAGGATCAAGTAAATGCTGGACAGTATCATCTAAAAAAAAAAAAAAAACCAACCTCTTTCACAATCATCAAGGCCTCTAAAGTTTGTACTTCTAAAGGGTTGCCAACCCAAACAACCTGCATGCACGATATCTTTCCCAGAGACGCGTAGGCAATGATACTTCTGTTAATTCTTGTAACAGTCGCCGTGAAGGTTTCTACTTACGTAGTGCATACAAGGTGAGAATTATTCCAGCCAGGCAAAATCCTTCGAAGAACCTGAGTGTGCTGAACATTGTCACATTCACTGACAGTGCCACAGTCAGTCCAAAGATCAGAATGAAGATGATGGAGAACAGCAGCACAGGCCGCCGGCCGACCCTGTGTGGGGAGAGGGGGGAAAGGAGTCACTGTTAAACGGGATGGGGACCCTCCTGAAACCCAAGGCCCAGCAGGTGCTCAGTGTATGTTGAATGAGTACTGGACTAAAAGTCTTCATGCTGTCTAGACCCACTTTCCTAGATCGTGGACTCCTAGGGACAGAAAGGCCTTCTGGGGACATTTAGCCCAACCCCCTGATCCTGGGCGAAGGGAGCACAGATCAAATAGCTACTGGGAAAGAGGATTGAGACATGAACCCAATTCCTGTTGCCGAGTCTATTTCTGAGTGTAAACAGGGATGATTCAAAGCAGGAGGAACAAAATCAATACTAACTCCCCAAACATAAACCTGGACACACCCAGCATGAAACGTCTTGAGAAATCTCTGACCTTTGGAACTGGCCAGAAAGTCAACATGGGTACGGAGTAAAGGCTTTAGTTATCTTCTCCAGGTTGTTAACTAAGCCAGGTGCCTGATCCTACACACCGCCTGCAGAGCCCGGGCCAGGGCAACTGCCAATCTGTCTCAGCTACATGACAAGAGTCAATGCAAATGCTAAGTCCAAGAGATCACACACTAAGTCCAGACGGCTTGAACTTAAATAACCACTGTGGTCCTGACAGTGAGCTCCCCCATCAGCCCCCAGGAAGGGCAGCAGTTACAGTAAACTTGTGGATCACGGGGGCCGGCCAGTGCAGGATTGGTGACGTGGGGGCGATGTGCTTTGGGGTGGGGATGAGAGGGAGGATGGAGGTGCCCCTTGGGATGCGGAACTCACTAGTTCTCCATGTCCCCAAGATAACCTTCCACCTTCATTAATTCAATCAGAAATAAACCGCAGCACTAAGTTCATCAAATGAGTTAATATGTAACACGACCGGCTTGGATCAGAAGGAGAGCTCACCGATGAAGAAGGGGGCAAACAAATTCAGGTCCAGTACCCTAAACACCACGCAGCTTAGCTGAACAACTATCCTGGGCATATTTATGTCAAGGCATCTATGTACCAATAAAATGCCTGAAAAAGGTAAATACAGAGGAACAGAGGTGGAGAGGTGGCTGCCCAGCGGTGGGGACGAGAATGGAAAGTGGATGTTTGTGAGCACGTTTCCACCATCCTTGGAAGGGAAGTGGAACTGCGTTAAACTCAGCACAACTCTGCAAATATGCAAAAACTCATTTACTTGTACTCTTTCCATGGGTATTTAAATTATCTCTCAATAAAGCTCTTGAAAAAAATAAAAAGAAGACACTCAGTAAGGAATGCCCTAAGAAGGAGATAGATATAATCTTAAGAAAATAGGGGGGCAGAAACAACAGGGAAGCATGTCCTTCAGAACTTTCTAAGGTTCTAACCATCTCCATCCATCACTTGGGGTTTTGTTAAATGAGGCCAAGGCTATCAGCTCAATGTTGTTGGACATCAGTGGTCTTGTCTAGAGATATTAGACCTTACTTCCCTTGACCAGTGGGGTCGTCATGACTGGGAAAGACCTTACCAGATGATTTTATTCATTTTCCATTCAAGAACAAAAATAAATTTAAAATATGGCTTGTTTTCCTAAAATGAAGAAAAACAAACAAAAATCTAAAACCTGGTTTTATTTCTCTTTACCTATCTCATCTGTAAAATGAGGCTAAGCATCCTTTTGCAGTTATTGAGATGGTCGGTGAAGGGAGATGATGGACATGACCAGAATGCCTGAACTACCAAGAAGCTAGTTCAATGTTTCTGCTCTCATTCTTCCTGCAGGCTACGTCCCTGACACTCGCCAAACATGGCTTGACTGGTTCTGACATGTTTTAGAAAAGATGATTGATTTTATTTTTTTAATCTTCAGAAACCATTCTAAGTACCTCCTAAAGGATTGCTAAAATCAGTAAGTAAAACTTATCATTAGGGACCGTGGAGCATATAACATCTTTGAAATTAGAGCGCCCTGGTTGTGAATCAAGGCTCACACCACTTTTGAAACTATCTGACCTTAGAAAAGGCCAACCGTGCCTGCTGAGCTTCTGTTCCCTTTTGCAAGAAGCAGTAAAATACCTACCTAACAGGGTTGCTGAGGGGTGTGGAAACACTCAAGAGACGTAGCAAGTGTTCAATACATGCCAGTTACAAGCCTTGGAGTTCTAATATGAGCTGGCTGCCTAGGGCAGAATCCCTTGGAGATGACTGGTAAAATCATATTCCTCAGTCTGCAACGCAGAGGACTTTTTCACTTAGGATCTGTGGTTGGCAGGAAAAATGGCCTTGAACAATGTCTATGTCCTGCTGGGCACAGTGTATAATCCCAGAGGCTTGGGAGGCCGAGACAGGAGGATCGTGAGTTCAAAGCCAGCCTCAGCAAAAGCGAGTTGCTAAGCAACTCAGTGAGACCCTATCAAGTGGCCCTGAGTTCAATCCCTGGTACCTGCCCCCCTCACCACCCCCCAAAAAGATGTCCGCATCCTAATCCTCAGAACTACTATTCAGGGCAAAAGGGATTCTGCAGGTGATTAAGGTTAAGGAGGACCTTGAGGTGTGGTGGGTTTGACCTATTACAAGACCACCTTCCCCGGCTACAGGGAACCTGAGAGAAGGCAGCATGAGGTCTTGACTTGCCATCTCTGGCTCTGAAAAAATGGACAGAATCTACAGAACGTGTCTGGTTCCTAGAGAGCCAGAAACAGCGGGAACATGTCTGTCTCTGAGCTTCTAGGGAAGAGCACTGCTTTGCACACCCTTGTTGGACTTGTGACCTACAGAACTGTAAGATGATTGCTTTGTGCTGTCGAAGCCACCAAGAATGTAGTAATTTGTAACAGTAGTCGTAGGAAACCATATGGGGTCTCCATAGGAAATAGACATGGAAGTAATGGGAGGAGATTGTAAAGGGATTATTTATAAAAGAGCGAGGAAACTGGGAGAAAAACTAGGAGGGATAGTGCTCAACCTTGTAGCTCTTAGCAGGAGGGAGCTTGCGGACAGACAGCCATGGGTGGCAGAGAGGCGCTGTTCGGAGGGCCCCTGACAAGAGGCAGCAGTCCTTCCAGCCCTTCAGAGACCAATGCCTGACCTCAGGCTCCTCTCCACTGAGGCTCTGCAGCCTGTATTCCCCACTGGCCAACAGGAGTCCAAGGGCAAAGGGTGCAGCCCATGAACTATAATTACACATTCAGGACAGCCTGTAACAGAGCAATCAAGGGCAGGGAGGTGGCCCAACCCCTGGCCTGCATCTCTCCTGCATCTGCACTAACACACCACCTAACCATTCCTATCATACACCCCAGACAAAACCCAGGTCTAAAGCATGACTTTTTAAAGAAAGCAGTGTACATTTAAATTTCCTGTATGTTGACTGCATCTTAGAAAGCTTGCCTCTGACTTGATCCACTTCCCCCTGCAGCCATGAAACTGGCGCCCCAGCTGTGAGGTCTGGAGTTCCCTTAACAGGGTTTATTTCCTTTTAAGCAAGGCTCAAGCAGGAGTAAAATGCCAAAAAAAAAAAAAAAAAAAGTGTGCGTGGGTGTTGTTGGAAAACACCAAACTTCCAAAGTGAAAGAGAGGCTCATTCAGAATGTTCAAAACACCTCCCAAAGCAGTTGCCTCTGAATCCCCAGAGCATGCCTGCTTGTCTACCCAACCTCGACCTGGGAAAATGACTGTAGAGAAGTGACTACAACATCAGACTTCTAGCTACTCACAGAGGAAGCCCCAAGCACCTTGGTCTTTTGTCCCTACATCTGGTGTGTGACCAGGGAGGCCATTTGGCAAGATGTGCAAGAATACGATGTCACAAAAACAGCCTTGAAGCATCTTAGACCTTTGGAGACTAATTCATTTAATAAAAGCCCATATTTACTTTCCTATTAAATCTTTCATTGAATAAGGACACTAAAACCTGCATCAAGTCTGCATTTTTTTTTCAGAAAGAAGGTGACATGGATTCTACTGATATATATTTCTAATTTATTTCGATGCAGATTTTTGAAAAACAGGATCTTTTAGACTAGTATAGTTCATACTAAAAACCTATGCATTTGGTTAAAAACAAACAAACAAACAAAAAGCCCTATTGCCTATCCTCAAAAGCAAAACAAAACAAACAACAAAAACCCCAAAGGGGCCCCCAGCATACATCCCCTGAGGTCGCTGATGACTTTTCTATTACCGTCCACAGGGTAGGTGTCCCTATGAAGCATTTACAAGTGATGATTTAGCAGATTCTGGGCACACAGGAAATCACATTATATGTTCACACAAGGAACTCACAAATAGACACTAGCTTTAGGAAGGAAATTTCCACAGCTTTAAAGTGGCCTCTGAATCCTCTGCTGCTGTCTGCTCTGGGCTCCTTGCTTTTGCCTGAGCCAGCTCTCTCAGTTAACCAGGGTAGAAAGGGCATCACAAAGACATACACAGTTTGTTCCATATTATTCTTGGCCCTTATTATGTCATCAGGCCCAAGATGTGCTGACTCATGAAAAACAACAAAACAAAACCAAAACCAAAATTCCTTTAAAAAGAGTGGAAAGGGAGAGACCCGCTCTGCAGCGCCTGTCCTTGAGCCTTACATTGCACAACTGTCTCTCTGTACCACAGAATACCCTTAATAAAAGTGCTGTGGCACACCGGTGGAGAGACACGGGCTCTGGGGTCAGGTGGCCTGGTGTCGAGTCCTGGCTCTCCAGATTAAAGTGGGGTGAACTTGGGGATTTACCTAAACTTCTATGCTTCGACTTTTCAATGATGAAAACAGGTAGTAATAGCTCTTACCCAACAGGGGTGTCGGAGGATGGGATTGTTACATGTCTGGGAATGTCTGGCGCTGTGCCCGGTACACAGTAATCAGTGTGAGATGCTAATGACATCATAGTCATTATCATCATTAATAACTCAGCTACCATCTTCCCCTCCTGATCTCTACCGGACAACTTCATCACCTCATCCTGAAACACACACTCTGCTCAAGGCAACCTCACTTCCTCACCCACCCAGATAAAGTGCTTTCACCCTGGCCTCTCTTCATGATTCCTCCCCCGTCTGCAGCGCCCACCCATCATCCAAATGCTACCATCTTCTAAGGCCTTCCTTCCGCATGAAGCCCACGGGGCATTTTGTAAAGGACTGTTCTAAAGTATGTATGATGTTTTGAGGTGCTAACCAGAGCTGCCTTACCCGCTCAGTCCATGTGGACGAAGGTCTCTAGTCCTTCCCCTATTTGTTTATTCGTTTTTTTTTTTAAGACAGGGTTTCACCATGTTTACTCAGGGAATCCTGGAAATTCCTGGGCTCAAGTGATCCTCTGTCTAGCTTCCTAAGTAGCTGGGACTATAGATGCACACCACTGAGCCTGGATCCCCTCTAGTTTTTAAAGCATTGTGTGCATCTACCCCTCATTGCAGCCCATAGAGTCCTACACCTGAGGCCTCAAGTTCCTCCTTACTAAACATCGAATGTCAGTAGTAGATGAGGCTGCAGGCTGGTTTTGCTATTTTCTAGCAGTTAGAGAAATTGCATGAATTTAAATTCTCACTTCCAAATGGTTCATCATGTGCACTGACCAATCCTTTTAGTTTAGCATTCCCCAAGGTGGCAGCTTTGGCTCTGGCTCTGGTATCAACACCAGGATAGAAAAAAGACACAGTAACAATATGCTAACAATGACCATTTCTCTTTAGCCAGCAAAGGCGTGCTGTGGCTCCCAAAGGTTCGTGCGGAAGGCATGTTGGTACTCACCAGTCAGCAATGCATCCAGTTATTAGGTAGCCAAAGATTAATCCAACCAGTAAGGAGAACTTAGCGATATGGACCTTCCAGGCATTATCACACACAAGATCCCACTAGAGAGGGGCAAATAAAAAATAATCAGAGAGACACATATACAGACCTAGTTGTACTCAATCATAAGGGCAATACAATAACCCTGCGAGGACCATGGCACTGGTGTCAGAGCCATGTCGCGTCAGTCATTAAAAGTCTCATTAATGTTTTTGAAAATTCAATGAAAAGTGCAATTTAACCATAAAACAAAATGTAGTGTTTTTATCTGGAATGGGTTATCAAACTCTGAAAGGAGTGATTCATGAAATTTTGAGAATATATATTCTTTCTGTTCCAATGGCCACAGGGAACGAAGAAAGAGGGACCAGCTAAGGAGATGGGGTGTCACTGATGACCAGTGCCCATGATGAGCAGCACCCCACCCCAGCAGAGCTACTACAGCCACCCAGGAGATGGGAAGACTTACCAACCCAGGGTGCTATAATGACACAAGGAAATAAAGAGTGACTTTTGCATTTTTACCCCACAACCCTCCCCACACTGTAGCTTTAGAAATAAAGGCAGGAGTTAATGGTGAATGTTAAAATATGAACTTTAACTAAACATTCTTGTTTCTTCCTTCTAAATGTACCTGGTGTTTTTCTTTATTGCTCTATAAAGGTAGCTGCGCTACTTGGAGAGAAAGCCAGTCAAAAAGTAAATATGATAGTTTATTTTGTACAATTTTTTATTATTTAATTTGATAAATAAAAATGGTCCTCCAATTCCTCTCCTTTCCCGTTTGTAGAATTAAGAGACAAACCAGTGTTTTTTCCTGCCACGTGACATGTGTTCAAGACTACTTCTGGGTCAGAGGGCAGACAGACAGGAACCCCCACCCCCTCACCCCGGCTAGCACTCTGGAAACTGCAATGCCCATCCCTGCTATTCTGTGCTGATGCCCACCTTCAGTGGTATGTAGATGTCCTGCTGCTGGGGCAAAAAAGTAGTTAAGCTTCCATTTGGGGGGTCTCCACTCCAGGTAGGTGGAGGCCAAGCAGTGGGGGTGGTAAACTCAGCTGGGAACATGCAACACAGGGGTGGAATTTGTGAATGCCAGCGAGAGGTGTTCTGGAAACAGAGACATGAAGGGCGAGGAAAAGGGCTGTTCGAGGCCTTGGGTGGGGGCTGGAACTTAGCTCAGTCTTCTTAAGTGTCTCCCTCCCCCACCACCTTGAGACCCTGAGTGTAATGCAGAGGATCCTTGCAAACTCAGGTCCTGCCCCTGTTTCCCAACTTCTGGAAAGTCTGGTGAGGGCCCTGGAGGATACTGCTGTGGGTCTCAGCTTCAGAGGGATTTGGGGAAAGCTCAGGTCAGCACCAGCAGCTGCAGAGGAAGGCACCTGGCCTAGAGAGCAGGAAGGCACACTGCCTATCACATGGGTCCCACTTCTGCCTGGACTGACCCTGAGAACCTCCAGGGGTTCTGTTCTGCCTTTTCCCTGCTATGATAAGGCAACCCATGAACTTTGCCATCCCAGGCTTGGTTCTAAACAATCAACTCCCAAGAGCAGGGAGTGTCTTACACTGCGTAAAAAACACACACACGGTAGTTGGCTTTTCCTCTAGACTGCCAGAGCAGAAGTATAAAGCTCCAAGATGTCTAAAGTGGGCTTTTGGAGGCAAGCCTGGAAAAGCAACATTCACGGATATGCTGTTTCTAGGAGAAAATGTATTTTTAATAATAAAGACTTTTTTTTTTTTTTGGCATGCAACCTACTTCTAACTTCAGGAAGGAAGGATTTGCCTTAAAATGGGAGTTACAGCATTACCATGAACAGCGTGTGTACATTCTATTCCCTAGCTTAGTTTACATGGTCTATGAGGAGAGACGCTTACACACCTGTAACGGTTCATCTCTCAGTTCATCTCTCAGTCGCATCATGCCTTGTGTGAATCTCAGCCTGGCACATTCTTGGCAGGAGAGGAGCAAGCCCTGACCCCAAGCTGCTGCCGGTGAGGAATGCACCAGCTGCCGCCTCTATCATTCCCTCTGCTTTTAAACACTTCCCTGTCTCCACCAACACTTCCCATTGATGAGTTTATTTGAGGTTAAACGATGCAAAGGAGTACATTCTGCTTATACTAAATGGTTGGGAAGTGAGAGGTTTCAATAAAAGCATTCAGGGGAATGGAGAAAATGGCCAATGCTGTTGCCCGTTCAGCCACCTGAACAATTACTACTCGGGGCCTTGGGCAGCCATAACCCAATTTAGTTGCTACCTAATAAGTTGTTCGGTGATCACCTCAACACGACCCCTATCAATTAACAATGCTGCAGTCCAAAAGTAAGACGCCACCGGAAGACTGGCTCATCAGGCCTGTAAGGAAAGCAAGACGGGGTAGAAGTACTGAGTGGCATCACCAATCTCAGCCTATGGGTACCCACCCCCCTTGGAGGGGGCCTGGGATTCTAGTACAAGGCAGTCACCAGCCACCTGGGTGGTGCCTTAAACCCTCCTCAATTAGATGCAGGAATGGGGAGCATTATCTGAATCAACAAGCAGAGGGACTGGGAGGTCCCAGCAGGTTTACCAAGATAAGGGTTACTCAAGCCTGGGGACCCGCCTAAAAACAACACCCTGGTAATCCTGGAGGCCCACCCTAGAGGCACATTCCATTGGGCTGGGTAGGGCCAGGCCGAAGGACTCCGCTGAGCTGCCTCCCTTGTTTAACTTCTACTTCTGGTAATGACAAACATGTACCAGGAAAGTAAAATATGTTCCAACAGAGTGCTATCTCTTAAAGAATTCTAAAGAATTTCAGAAGTATGAGGAAACTTTGAGATCACCTGGCTCTCAAATTTGTTCACATCGACACAGATAAGATGTGACAATTGGTCACATTCAGGAAGCCAAGGCTACGTGAATTTTTAACATTAAAAAAAAAAATCTGATGAGAATAATGCTTATTTTTTTTTTTAAATCTCCAACATTACTCTGCTAACCTCTCTTTCTTTCTCCCCATTAAATCAACCAGCAATTTTAGCAGATTCTACCTTCCAAACACACCCCGAACATATCAACAACAGGCATTCACGCCTCACCTGAGAGTCCACCCTCCTTCAGGTGTGTGTTCCTG